CCGTCCTGAACGCTGCATTCAGCTTGTTTTCGAGTTCCCTTCGTTACATTATTTGGGTCATCACTCTACCCGCCGTCTTAATGGACTGTTTCAGAGAGAGGTCTAGGACGAGTAACTGGTGCTGGCTTCTAACACGTCATCGAAAAACCTTTATATCTTCAGGTGACATTCTTCAGTTGGTTCTTCAGCACGAGGCTGGTAGTCGATGACTTTATCTGCCCGGTCTAGTAGGTTAACAGGTGGTTATCTCTTTGATTAAAGAACGTGTCTGTCAGAGTCCTATCATATGCAACTGCTAGTTGCATGGTGTTCTCTCCTTTATTTGACAGATGGTCCCTGTTCGCCGTGGATCCTATAATAGCCCATTCGATGTTTCCCGTTAAGATCACCCCCTCTATTATCACTTTTTTGCTTCATTACATGTTTGAAAATGCATTGGATAGACTCTTACAGAATTTCCAATTTTCGGCTTTATTCTGGCTCGTCTGTGTAGGTGTAGTCTCTCTTTGATATTATCTTCCAAAGATGGTTTAGCGCCTATGACGCTGTCGTATATTCTGTTGACTTCAAATATCGTGTACTTGGTCGTTTCATCCAACACCACTCTAAGTCCGTTTCTTACGCTTCATATTTTACAGTAAACGAGTTTATGGCCTAGCCGGATCTCTTTCGACTTTTCACTTTTAAATGTCATCTCCTGAATGCAAGCGATCTAAACTTAGAGTTTTCTTCTTTGAACAGTTTCTTTCAGCTTCAGGTTCTTTTCCGTGATTGTTTTAATGTTCCAGGTGGCTCTTTGCATTTTCTTGTTGTCTGCAATCGTTTCACAGACTGCTTCCTTTGCTTATTTCTCACAACCGCCGGGATTTGCTGTTGAGCGTCGCCTATGGGCAGCACCCTAACATTTTTGCTACGGGTAGGTTGACTCATCATATTTGGCTGTGACATTGGATTTTACGGCTATCTTTTTCAACCGGGCTTGAAACCGACTACAGTTCATTCATTGAGCACTGGGGTGGCGGCATGCTTATTTGATGGCGGAATGTACCCGCCGTGTCATCGAGCTGTCGTCAGACCTTCCAGTATTTTCTAAATCCGAATTTCTCAGTATTTGGCTTGCCACGTTATCCGCGACCTCATATTGATCGAATTGCTTATTTTGCAGCCAACTCTCATGTCTGAGGGTTGTCCCACTATCCGTTACCCGTGGATGCGCTCGGAGGTTGCTTCGACACGGTTGTCTTCGATCGAGAATATCGCTGAAACATATGAATGTATATAACCGATGTATACTATAACGTCGTACCTATAATATATTGCTCTCTGAAGAGAGTTTGAGCATGATGCGAAACTTAACAACTTGTGTATGCTGTGTAATCCCCTAAAGAACTTGTCAAGTTCTATGGTGTATAAATGTAGTCAAAAATATTCATGAAGTTTCCTGCTGTCCGTAATTTGAGACATAAGGCTCACTATTATTATGAGTGCACCTTTCCCTACAAGCCAACGATTTGTTGAAGTGCACAGTTCTTTCGTTCGCTTGTTTATGTCCAAGTAGGTGGATTCTTCCAGGTTGTGTGTGTAATTCTGTTAGAAGTTTATTCAGTTAAGTCGGTCCCGTCTTCTGCTAGCCCCCAATCATCATTGATTAAATTTCGTGGCCCCACAGCACGGGGTTTTTAAAATAGTGAAGCCATTTGACTGTGGGTCTGCTTTCAAGCTTCTAGTCCAGCTGATTCACAAGTGGAACATGCCGGTGAAGCGTTTCAAGATTTGTTGACTAATTTATATATCTCGACTCAGTCAGTTATCCTCAGCAGTGACACCGTCCAATCAGAGTTAATTAGAAGGTTCGCCGTGGCCTACAGTGTATTTGGAAACATGTCTAATATTTATGCTGAGAAAGTAGAAGCTGTTAAACGTAATCTCTCGTAACCTTTGTGTAAAAATCCACCTGTATGTTGCTTCGGTCACAGCAGTGTTGTGTGGTGCTGAAAATAGTTGTTTTGTCACGAGGATCAACAACGAAGTTTCGACGCATAATGAGGGTTAAATTGTTGGACCACGTAAGGAATGGCTCTCTTCTCTGT